TCTTTTATGAAAACTTAGAAGTTATGTATGAAAAATAATATCAGACGAATGAAGGGTACCAGGGAATAACGACAATAGTATATCCGGTAATTAAGGTTTACTTACTACTTGGAAAGTAAAATTGACGAAAAAAAAGGTCGTAAAGAATATCTTTTCTAAACAGTGCGTTTATTGGTAGAATAGATTTTACAAAATGAACTTTTACTCAAAACTAGTAACGTAACAAACAAAAGATGATGTTCAACTCTGGACTCGTGCCACTTTTTCCCTGCTTTAAGCGTCTATTGGCTGTTGATAAAAGGCCCTGGAATCTGCTCTCTCTAGAAATTTGGCCAGATCATGCAGATTCTTACTTTTAATTGGGATTTGGCCATGGTAAAGTTTTCTCAATGTTTCCTCTTCTCGTTTTTGTTGATCTTTTTGCGTCTTTTTTAGATTCTTCCGAATTACCTTATCAAATTTAGAACTAGCATATTGGCACATGTACGTCGATTTGTAAAAAACTACGCGAGGATTCTGTCCACAAAACTTGAGCATACTGACTCGTCAAGTTGGAAAGGGGCACTTCGTCGGATAAAACGGCGATAAAAACGTACTCCAACCTTGAAAATCCACATTCAATGACCTCAAATGGTGTACAGTATATTCAGATAAGAGATAGACCGGACATAAACAAGACCACGTGATCATCGAACGCTGTAACATCGGCAGGGACGTAGTAAGAATCACGCAGTACATATTTTAGATAGTAGATGCTGCTTTGCGTAACTTTGTAGTAAATTAGCACAATTTGATGTGTTTACGATTGGTGATGGATATAGGATCATGTGGGGGTGGGGTAAGAAATATATAATGATGTAAATATACATAAGGGTTTCAAAATTTTCGCTTCGATTTCCAGCTTCGGATGCCGTCTGATGTTTGGTGAAATACAGTCGAATATAATCTCAAAATGGCGTTTAAATTAGCCTAAATTAAAAATAATCGTATATCTCTTAAAATTGCTTTTAGAATATTGATTAGTATATTTTTTGATTTCTAGGTAAATATGTAACCAAATTAAAACGTTCAAAACGTAAAAAAATGTGCATGGTTGAACATTGTCAGAAAGTAGATTCTTGAATAGGTTTTGCCAAAATGGGTTCAAAAATGTCAATAATTAATTAAAAAATACAGTAGCTTTATAATTACTTATACCGAATTTGATGAACGACATCTTTTATTGGAAAGATGAGCTTGATGAGCTTTCATCATCGCTACTGCCTGAAGCACCAACGTCAATAATGAAAGGCTCGACTTGTTCCTCTAAAATATTGTCCAGTTCCCACATTCTCTTTTCAACTTTGTCTTTCACGTGCTTAATACAGTTTTCCCATTTTTGCGCTGTTATTTAAAAGTCCTTTGAGGTCACAAAATTTAAAAGTTGTATTGTGCTTAGCTATATAATTTTTAACCTCTGCCCATATGAGCTCAATGGGATTGAGCTCGCAATGGTATGGAGGTAAACGGAGCACAGTTTTATTTTGACTTGCTGCCATTTCGTCAATGGCGTATTTTTGATATTCCGCCTTGTGATCCTTGACAATTCTTAATAATTGTACTTTCAGCATTGCTTTTTCAAAGTTGATATTTTTCGAGCGGAGCCAATTTTGAACATCAACTTTCCTTGAAGCCGTTGTTGGGACCTTCTCCATTCTTCGAGAATGATAAGGCGCATTATCCAACACAATTACTGCGTTTTCCTCTAAGTTCGGTAAAATTTTTGAAAACCACTGTTCAAACGATTAGCCATTCATTTCCTCGTGGTGATCTCCAGTTTTCTTAGACTCAAAGCACCACAGACCGTCAACAACAAATCCATCCTCACTGCCAATATGGCAGATAATGAGCCTTTTCCCTTTACCTGGAAATCGAAGTACTAACTGGTGTAGATTTATTTCAATAAGCGAACCTTTTTCAAATGTTTTCATCACATTCAGCGAAAAAACATTGAGACATGAGTATCAGATTGCTATAATTGGGATTATTTAGTCATATTGAAAGAAAGAATATTGAACGTCGTATGATTACTCACAATTTAATTTAAAGTTATAAACCTCTAAAAAATGAATGATCAGGAACCTGAAATACGCGCAAATATTAATATTAACAAATTATAACTTTATAAAGCTTAAAGTATGAATTAAAATGATTAGAAATATTAGGAACGGTACACAATATAAAACTTAGTAACTTTTTTAAGTTTATAATATTCGACATATTTTAAGATTATATTAAAAAAATATTGAAATATCGAAAACACATAAAAACATGGCTTAAAAAAGTTCTAACAAATGAAAATGACAATAAAACATCCACGCATTTTATCGAAAGTTATAAAAGTTTTGTTACTTGTAATATGTTTTATCTGCCCCCTGGAATTAATGTTTAGAACCTTGTTCCCAAGGTTTGAAAATCATCCGATTGTTATCTATTACTCGTATTTACCTGCTGGATTTTTTAATCCGGTGGACAGTCCATCTAGAAAGGCCCTCCTGGATGAAGTTACAGAATCATCAACCCATACTTTACTTGTAGTGTGTCCTGCGTTTACCCACGTTTCATCAAGGTAATAAATCTTCCTGTTTTGATTTCTATATTTCCCAATTTTTGTTAAATGATCCCTCCTCTATAGCACAATTTCTTCTCTATCCAGTAGTAAACTATTACGACCCCGTTTTTTCCATTTCAAAATTTAAATGCTTCAGTAACGCATGGAAAGTTGATCGTTTGAAATTTGGCAACGTTGTATCTCCATTTACCTCCTGCAGTACTTTATCTATAGTAGGTATTTCATTCCTAAAGAAGAATTCGTGCACTTTCCTCCTAATCGCATGCTTATCAGCTTCATCCAATGATTTAACAATACTTTTGCGATGTTTACTGGTCATTGGCTCAGAAAAGGTGTGATTTTTTTTTGTATTAAACACTGATGCGCGACACACCCCAACTTTGTGAGAAACCTGCACAACAATTTCTTTGATGGTCGATGCCTCGTTCTCCTCGCGCTCGATCTTATATATATTTAAAATGACCTCTTTCATTTCTGCACTCAGGTGTCTTTTTTTAGAGCGTTTTCTAGATGGACTACAGGAGTTTACAACTTCATCGGCAGTATCTGTACTACTGGACATTTTGCGCAAGCAGTTGATAACAATAACAATCAATAACAAGGTATAACAATAACAACGACAAACTCAACAACTTAATAAGATAACAAACGAAAACGTCCAAAGAAATATCAAATTGCAATGATGCACACGACATACGTAACACGTCTGAACCTGAATGTGACTCTGCCTTGATACGACTGCTCTGCCGCTCGGCATAGGCATTTAATTGCGAATTGACCAATGAGGGCTCCTGTTTTACGTCGAGACGGCGGCGTTAGCGTGAAAGTCACCCGAACCTGTTGTTTACATCCGGTCTAACTCTTATCTGAATATACTGTAGGTTTCACACGGCAATTTTTCAATCCATTTCTCCAGTCATCCGGTACGTCAGTGAATGCTCTTTGGTTCACGAGACTCATATCTCTATCACACTCGAGGTATGAATGCCCCCTGATCGGGAATATTACCTTCACAGTAGTAAAACGATTTTTCTTGGTAACCAAGTAATGCCAAAACTGAATCACTGTAAAGTTTTTATTTTGCCCTGCACAGGAGTCACAGAAAATGGAAAGCTCTTTTGCTTCCATAGGAAGGTTGTTATAAAAAAAGTGATACAGCATAGAACAACCATCTTCAGCTCCTTTCTCAGCAAAAAATTCATCGTAGGTATAAACGAATTTGAGTTTTACAGAATGAGGATGTTAAAACTGATGAAATTTAGTTGCCGCTTATAGTAAAAATCATTTGTCGTGATACTTGGACGGGGCAAGTTTTTTTGGTAATCCATCGTGATACTTTCGATAGCGGGGAACTTCGAGGCACATTTGCGGTAAGTTCTCTTTAGACTGTAAAATCGCTCACTCCTTTTTTGATGTAGTGTCTTCTCAAGTATCTGTTTCTCCAAATTATTACTTGCCGACTGCCTAGTTTGTTCCGTACGGGAATTTAGCGGTAAGTGAAGATATATCAGCTTTTAAGGAATCACACGTACTACAAGTATCTCTTCGTGGATAACTGAACGATACATTGAAGTTGATTTCAAAGATTTCTCGGAAGGATTCATAGGAACCTTGTTTTCAGCATTGCCAATGTTTTCATTACGTCTCTTTGTCTTCCTGTTTTTTGCGTTTTACCGTTTCTCTGTTTGATGAGCCTGGTTCATTTTCACTTGAAACTGAATAGTCACTATCCATTATACACAAACCCCGTATTATAAACTAAATTAGCGAATATAGTCGATATTCAAAATATCAGCGTATATAACACACGTGGACTCTAATAGTAGACTAATGGCTGATGCAATAACGAAGCGCCCAAGCTTTTTAAATGACCCAACATAAACAAATCCAAAGGTGATAAATCTGGCGATCTTGGGGGCCATTCAATGGCACCCGTTCTACCAATCCATCGATCTGGAAACGTCTGATCTAAATATTGTCGAACACGTAATGCGTAATGTGTTGGGGCACCATCCTGTTGGAACATCAACCTATTCGCAATGTACCGCCGATCATTCCGATTTTCAATTATGGCTGTTAATGCAGTAATTCCAAATAAATTTCACCGGTCAAATTTCCAGGTAAAAAAAAGGACCAACTAAATGATGATGATAATTTTTGTGGCTGCTGTGTATGAACCTCATGATAAATTCTGGGATTAGAATCGGACCAATATCGGCAGTTATGACGATTTACTACGCCATTTAAGGAAAAGGAACATTGTTATTGATCGATTCTTGGGGTCCGATCTTCTTCATCTTATTATTATTATTGTCATGATATGTGCCAGAGGTCAATTAATAATCTATTCTTTTCTGATTACTAATAGTAACGAATACTTTTGTTGCAGGGCACTTCTTTCGATAGGATATTTTTTCACAACTATCTGGGGAGGCCTTGAAGTATGTGCTCCTGATATTTTACTATGGAATTTTATTATAGTTCTACTAAATGCAACCCACACTGCTCTACTGACTTGGAAATTCTTACCTCCTACTCTTACCCTGGAACTGACTGAACTATATCTTAAGGTAAGTGAAGATACTGAAAATTCCATAATTATAAATTCCTAAATTGGTGACGAGAGTCAAAGAAAACGAGCTTGGAAATTGGCAAATTAAAGTAAGTATACGTGGTGGTCCGTAATGGATTGCACAACGTTAACCATAAATTAAACTCGTAAAGAAGATGATATCAAGCCAGATATGCCTCAATCTGCCTCAAATGAGATACTTTTCTCTATACCGCCAGCTGCTTTTGTTATAGTCTAATCGTATTAGAGGAAGATACCCCTGGTTTTCGGAATAATTGTAAAGTCTGGTTTTATTGATGCAAGTTGTTCAATGGGGTATTTAAAACAGAGAATAGGTACACCTATTTTTGAGGGAAAACTATTTATTCGACAACAAAGAATGAGAAAATACGTTTTCTGGGATTCAAGCGAAAGTTTTGACAGGAACGAAAAAACTCTTCAAATAAGATTTTTAGGTATTTATGAAACCTTCAGAATGAGACCACACCGAGGGCAAACCGGAGCAAAATGTAAGGATTCATACTTCTTTAAGAATTTATAATTGTTTATCTCAAAACACCTGTTTTCCAGCCATCACTACTAGTTTACTGAGCAATATATAGCGTTCGTTCAAAGGGCATGTTATAGCAAAATACACGATGTGATTCACAAGGGCTACGTTTTTTTTTTCTAGATAAATTCAAACATTTAGTATATGTGAGTACCTAAACAGATTCGCTACGATATTTGACAAACGTATATTATTATACAGGGTGTCCCAGAAGTCGACGTCAAGCCGAAACCGGGTGATAGGCAAAGTCATAACAGCTATCAGAAAAATATTTAAAAAAATTTTATGTATGAGTTTTGAAAATTATAGGTCTTTGAAAAAAATATAGAAATTTCACACCCTACGGCAGTCTGTCAACTCCTGTTACTACAAATATTAACTTCTTTTGGATTTTATTTTTACAATGTAATGATGAATAATGCATCTTCAAACTGGTGTCTCAACCTTACTGCCAACTTTTCTCGTTCAGGAAAAATTGCCACTTATTTCCCAACCAAGTATTCCAAAGTAAAACTTTGCTCAACTTTAACTGGCTGTACTGGAAAAAAATGTACTACGAGAGTTTGGCAAGTAACCTTAAAAGTTGGCGCATTTAATAACGATTCCAAAATGGTATAACACTTAGAAGATTACTCGTTAACTTCTGCACAATTTTTATTTGAAGAAAAACTGATGAAAATTTTTCAAAAATTTCCTAATTAAACAGCGATTATGAAAACGCACAAGGACCCTTAAAGATAACTGTTTGCACAACAGTGGGCGTCAAAATGCTGCAGCTGATGATTTACCTTTACAGCAAATGCTCAAACTGTTTTCTTTCAGCCGCAATACCCGCTCGAAAAAAGATCGGGTTATTAAACGAGCGAATCCACGGTTATTAACAAACTCAGCTGCTTCCAATAGTCTTTGCCGTAGCTCAACAACATTTTGAATCGGCTTGAAATACACTTTTTCTTTTACAGTTCCCCAGTAAAAAAAATCTAACGGATTCAAATCTGGTGACCAGGCTGGCCACGGTATTGTCCAGACCGCCCTATCCATCTGTCTGGAAAGTTTTGATCGAGATACTCTCTCACTGAGAGTGCATAGTGCGCTGGACAGACATCATGCTGAAACCACATGACCCTGTAAATACTCAGTGGCACGTCCTCCAATAAATTTTCTAAATGATTTTGCAAAAAACCTAAATAAACCTCAGCAGTCAAAGTCTCTGGGAACTCAAACGGACCGATTATTTTACCATTTAAAATTCCTGTCCAATGGTTTATCTTGAAGCGATATTGAGATTTATCTTCTCTCATCAAATGTGGGTTTGCTACGTGCCACTCGTGTAAGTTATGCAGGTTCATGTCCCCATCTTTCTTAAATGTGGTCTTATCTGACCATAAATTTTTTTCAAAGAACCGTGGATCTTTCCTGTGTCTTTCTAACATTGTGCGACAAAAAGCAACTCGGGGCTCATAATCCCGGGGCAGAAGAGCTTGAACACGTTGTATGTGGTATGGATGGAGCACGTTTTTTTGCAAGATTCTATGGGCTGTACTTTTGGGCACACCTGTTTTTAGTTATTGCACGCACTGAAGTACTCGGGTCTTCTTCGACAGCCCTTCATAAGGAAGGAAAGATCTTCCCTCACCGTGTGATTGGTTTGGTAGTTGGCCTTCTGAGAACAGTAAGCGGTGCACATTTGTGAACACTCGATGATTTGGATGACGAGCTGCATTCGGGTACCTCTCACAGTAAAGTCTCGCTGCAGCACTAGCATTGCATCTGCATTCCCCATAAATGAGGTGCATGTTAGCATATTCTTGTACGGTGTACACGGACATAGCGGCACTGCACAATCACACTATCAAAGATAGTCTAAGGAAAGCAAATGTTGTTTTGAAGAGCAATTAAACAGTCCAAATCCAAATCACAAGCGATTAACAGTCCAGTTCTCGAATCCAAAATTAGTAACAGTACGAAATCAACAAGCACGAACATGTAAAGATGCGTAGTAAACGAAGGAGTACTGATCGGTATCAAAGTGTGCAATAGCAAGTAAGTGATGTGCATCATCCATACCACATACAGCGTGTTCAACCTCTCCTGCCCCGGGATTATGAGCCCCGAGTTGCTTTTTGTCGCACAATGTTAGAAAGACACAGGAAAGATCCACAATTCTTTGAAAAAATTTTATGGTCGGATGAGACCACATTTAAGAAAGATGGGTACATGCACCTGCATAACTTACACGAGTGGCACGTAGCAAACCCACATTTGATGAGAAAAGATAAATCTCAATATCGCTTCAAGATAAACCATTGGACAGGAATTTTAAATGGTAAAATAATCGGTCCGTTTGAGTTCCCAGAGACTTTGACTGCTGAAGTTTATTTGGATTTTTTGAAAAATCATGTACAAAATTTATTGGTGGACGTGCCACTGAGTATTTACAGGGACATGTGGTTTCAGCATGATGGCTGCCCAACGCACTATGCACTCTCAGTGAGAGAGTATCTCGATCAAAACTTTCCAGGCAGATGGATAAGGCGGTCTGGTACAATACCGTGGCCAGCCCAATCACCTGATTTGAATCCTTTAGATTTTTTTACTGGGGAACTGTAAAAGAAAAAGTGTATTTCAAGCCGATTCAAAATGTGGCTGAGCTACGGCAAAGACTATTGGAAGCAGCTGAGTTTGTTAATAACCGTGGATTCGCTCGTTTAATAATCCGATCTTTTTTAAGAAGATGTCGAGCGTGTATTGCGGCTGAAGGAAAACAGTTTGAGCATTTGCTGTAAAGGTAAATCATCATCAGCAGCATTTTGACGCCCACTGTTGTGCAAACAGTTATCCTCAGAGGGTCCTTGTTCGTTTTCATAATCGCTGTTTAATTAGGAAATTTTGAAAAATTTTCATCAGTTTTTTTTCAAATAAAAATTGTGCATAAGTTAACGAGTAATCTTCTAAGTGTTATACCATTTTGGAATCGTTACTAAATGCGCCAACTTTTAAGGTTACTTGCCAAACTCTCGTAGAACATTTTTTTCCAGTACAGCCAGTTAAAGTTGAGCAAAGTTTTACTTTGGAATACTTGGTTGGGAAATAAGTGGCAATTTTTCCTGAACGAGAAAAGTTGGCAGTAAGGTTGAGACACCAGTTTGAAGATGCATTATTCATCATTACATTTTAAAAATAAAATCAAAAAAAAGTTAATATTTGTAGTAACAGGAGTTGACAGACTGCCGTAGGGTGTGAAATTTCTATATCTTTTTCAAAGACCTATAATTTTCAAAACACATAAATAAATTTTTTTTAAATATTTTTCTGATAGCTGTTATGACTTTGCCTTTCACCCGGTTTCGGCTTGACGTCGACTTCTGGGACACCCTGTATAAAGAGGCATCGTAGCGTAATAGGAACGATTGCAGAACCGCAAGACTACGAAGCTCCCTTTTTTTCTATTATTTTTTTTTAATTTGTAGAAATAAATGCTTTAGGAGCCTCGAATTGATGTATCGCACGACCCGCCATTCCATTAAAAAAAAATGCCCAACGCCAGAACGGTTTCTAACTTTTATTATACTTTTCAGGTATTCAAACCACTACGTGTAAGTAAAAAGCACTTCAAAGAATTGGTCAAGGAAGCAAAAGTTATGAATTTGGAAGAAGGCGACATTTATGCAGTGGAAGACGTTAGTCCAGCTGATGAAAAGCTGTCAATTTTACTCAGAGGAAGGTATTATACTAATTTGGATTATTTTACTTTCCACGACTACTGAAATAATCGCAAAAAAAATCTAAGTAGACATATGCATATGCCGCTCCCAACTCAATCCACAGCTTTGATGACGACAGCTCTCTGCATGCAGGAATTTAGAGCGACAAGCAGAACTCTGCCCGTGAACTGGACCTGCCCTGACGAGATACCTGGAGGTTATCACTGCTTGGGAAGCAACAATCAGGTTAATGCTCCAAAACACAACAAGTCCACGCGCTCATCTGGTTTCGATGGTTGGCCCAGTTCTGTCAGTTCATTTCAGCTAGTCGGAGTCCAGATCACCAAAAACTTGATCTGACACGAACACGTCTTGTCAATAGCGGCAGCTACTGGGAAAAAGCTAGGCTATTTGTTTAGGACTGGAAAGTACTTCTCTCCACATGACTCTCTCACTCTATACAAGGCACAGATAAGTCCTAGCCTCGACTATTGTTCACGCGTTTGGGGTGCTGCGGCCCCGACTCCATTATTTATACCCAATGCTGTCCAGGGGACTGATCAATGACTCTTATCTAGCAGACCGTATGTCATCTAGCTCTCTTCTACCAATACACCAACGGATTTTGCTCATCAGAGCTCTCCTTGATGATGTCGCCGAGTGAGGTGCCAGCCAGACTCGCCAAACTTCTGCCTCCCATCCCAACCGTGTCGAACTTCGTACATCCAGAACTGTCCGATACGACCGCTCCTTTGTCTCGAAGGTGTCGAGATTGTGGAACAATCTACAAGAGGAAGCTTTTCCGAAATCGGTCCAGTGACGACATAGAAAAACGCAAAAAATGAAAAAAAAAAACTGTGATAAAAGATTGGGAGAACAGGGCTTGTGTGGGGGATGTTGGAGGATTATCTCAGTTTTTGTTTGAGTTTAGTATACAGGGTGTTTCAGTTTATTGTTGCATAACTTTAAGATTCGATAGAACTTTTAAAATTAATGCATAAAGTCTATATAAACATTGGTCGAAAAATGCGTGGCTTCCGAAATACATAGTTTTTTTAAATATTTCGAACAATATTTGATGTATAACAGTGAAAATTGGTATTCGAGGGTTTTTTGGTACGACAAAACGAACCATGGGCATACTTTTACTGTAGCCGCTAGAGGGCGCTCTCTACTGTACCTGTAGGTTATTAAAATGACCGAAAAAATTTTCTTAGTGCAATTTTTTGCTTTTTGAATAAAAAAACTGATTCTTCGCACTTTTCTGCATAAAAAATCTCTACTGTGAGTTTTCGTTATAGTTAGCCGTTTTTTAGATATTTCGATTTTCAAGGTACGATGCATTTTTAATTATTTATGGGAAAATAATATTTTTTTTTACATTTTCGATTTGGGCATTACAAGTAATTAAGATGATCGTTTAGATTGTGTTTTTAAACACAGCAATAATTCCTAACTCCAAATAAACACAAAAAAACAGAATATTAATGTGTTTAATTTTCCAATATTATTTTTAGCAAATTAAATTAATTATTTACAACTAAAATGCTATTGGATAGTTAGGACAAACATACAAAATCTAAAGTAGTTGCTCGAAATGTAAACACAATTCACATCTACGAATGATCGAACGTAGTATAGCATTATTCAAATAAGGCCTTATTTCATCACATGCATTCCTGATTCTGTCTATTAGCATATCTCTTGTGGTTACGGGAGTCTGGTACACTTTTTCTTTTAGAAATCCCCACACAAAGAAATCTAATGGATTTAGGTCAGGGGATCGTGGAGGCCAGGCGACTGGTCCTCCACGCCCGATCCATCTTTCTGGATAATTTTCGTCCAGCCAGTTTCTAATTATTCTCGAATAATGAGCTGGACAACCATCAAGCTGGAACCAGGCCAATCTTCTTAAATCTAACATAACATCATCCCACATATTTGCATGTTCAGCCTTTAAAAATTCCAAGAAGGTCGCAGCATTTAACCTTGCAGGCAAAAGGTAGGGTCCAAATAGTCGATTACGGTAGATACCAATCCACACGTTCACACTAAATTCATGCTGATAATTTCTTTCCCGAACTGCATGCGGATCTTCATGCGACCAAATATGTTGATTATGAAAATTTACCTCTCCACGTCTAGTGAAGCATGACTCATCGGTCCATTAAAAACACCCTATTATTATCAGTTCTATCAAGAATCCACTGACAAAATGTGATTCTTCGTTCTCCGTCCCCTGGCTGTAGTCCTTGCACAGGTTGCAAATGGTAAGGATATATATGGTCATTTCTAAGAACACGGGGTGAACATGGCTTGCTGAAATTCTCAAGGCACCAGAAACTCTCCTAACACTTTTGGTCGGATCTCTATCAAACTCACGCAGAATCATACGAGTAAACCTGCGCTGACGAACATTTATGTTTTGATTCCTTTGGAGATTTCCAAAACCATTTTCAATTATTTGGCGATGCACTATTACAAATACTGAGCGAGTTGGATGTCGTCTCTTTGGAAATCTTCGTGCGTATTCTCTGGCTGCTTCTACTGCGTTTCCATTTACAAAGCCATACACAAAATGAATATCCGCTAACTCTTGATTGGAGAATAAAAATGGCATCTTTATAAAACTTACAAAAAAAAAACAGGTAAAAGAAACTAAATTTCGTGCATTCACAATTGCAAAAAAACGTTTCAACAAAAGTAACTGTTAACTAATTGACGTTTAACCTTATTCTGCTTTCAATTTCAAAAAGATTTGCAGGCGCAGCCTATTTCTAAAAATTAACGTTATTTTATCATACATAATTAAAAATGCATCGAGCCTTAAAAATCGAAATATCTCAAAAACGGCTAACTATAACGAAAATTCACAAGAGAGCTTTTTTATGTTGAAAAGTGCGAAGAATCAGTTTTTTTATTCAGAAAGCAAAAAATTGTACTAAGAAAAAATTTTCTGTCATTTTAATACACTACAGGTACAGTAGAGCTACAGTAAAACTATGCCCATGGTTCGTTTTGTCGTACCAAAAAACCCTTGTATACCAATTTTCACTGTTATACATCAAATATTGTTCGAAATATTTAAAAAAAACTATTTTAGAAAGTAAATTTAAACACCCTGTATTTCGGAAGCCACGCATTTTTCGACCCATGTTTATATAGACTTTATGCATTAATTTTAAAAGTTCTATCGAATCTTAAAGTTATGCAACAATAAACTGAAACACCCTGTATTTATAAGCTCTCTATTAGACGTATTTCACACATAATTTTTTCCCTTTAACACAGATTGATGGAGACGCGCTTTCCATTCGCGTCACTGCTTACGTTGTCTGTGATCTCCTGCGAGCGTACCGGTTTTGGTAAGCGTTCTGGCCTAACTACCGCGCTGTCGCAACGGAGGCGTTGTGCCGGGGAAAGGCGACGTTGCCAGATGGATAGGGAAAGAATGTCTATGGACTAATTGTGCGGACCTGTTTGACTGACTTGATCCGTTTAATTTCTCTGTTCGTAATTAATTATTTTCTCAGAGGGTTACGTAGAACATGTAGTCAGCTTGATGCCATTTTTCTTATCTCTAAAATAAGAGAATCTGAAATATAACGTACTATTTGTGCATAGCAGTTTGAGCTACCAAAAAAAACCTTGCCACAAATAACTTTTATTCTGTTATAAAAACATGCAAAGGTTTTATGTTGATTAGGTAGGTGAAACAGCCGACCAGAATTTATTACGACAATTTTTTTAATAATCTTAGTACCTGATTTTGATCAGCAAAAAAGTATGTACTAAAGGCTTTTACAGCTCAACACCACTTCAAAGATGTATGAACCATTCTTAAGTTTGATGGCTATGAATGACTATCAGCATTTTCACCCTTTCAGCATACATTTCCACAAAAGTTCTCGGGTTTAGCGACTTTTTGATACCTTCGCGCCTCGACCAAACCTCCGTCTGTTTTTGGAAGAAGGCCAAATGTGTGACGAGGTGTATTTTTGACCAAATGTAGCCGGAGCTTATTAAGAAAATGTTGAATGTGTAGTACAATCCGCGTGTAGTGTGATCATTCACCATAACTTGAAGTTAGGCAGAGTTCCCCAAACTTTTTTGTGTCGTAGACCCCTTGCCATGTTTTTCCCTGTTGGGTAGACCCCCTACTTACCTGATATTGATTTCCTGTAAATTTCTAACTGTAGTGAAGTTTAGTGTTAAAAACTTAAAGTAAAAACACATGTTAATTTATACATTTATTAATTGAATTTAAATTAAAACTACTCTAAATAAAATTTTGTATCTGTTATGTAAAATATACGTAACATTAAATAAACAGGTATCTGACCAATAAGTGCCCGCATTGGGAATAAGTGCCCGCATTGAAAAAAAATAAGAGGTATAAAATAAAAAAAAAAGTGAAAAATATAAAAAAAAAGTTTTTTACTTAAAATTGTACAATAAGCGCGTTCGTTTATTAATTATAACATAAACGTATGTTCTACAATAATTTCACTGTTAGTTTGATTAAATTTCGCTTCTTATACGTTCAAGTTATCCAAAAATAGGCAAAAAATTAACGAATTTTAGTGTGTACCTATCCTCGAATTTTCAGGATAATTAAAAAAAATATTTTCTATAAAGGGGGGTTCTTTAAAAAAATCAATGCAGGCACTTATTCCCAATGCGGGCATTTATTGGTCAGACACCAATAAACATAAAATAAACTATAAATAAAATAACATAAGCAATAAGTCGATATTTTTAGTGAGAAGGATGAACCTGATGCTTTAATAATAAATTATCAACATTTGGCGTCAATTTTGTACGGGTTAATCTTGAATCTCCTCGGCTAATGATGATTTCTTTTTTTCGTTAGGAGATTGGTATCAGCGCTGACCCCCTTTCGACTAGGTATGACTATGGAAAGGAAATTAAAAATTTCCTCGCTATATTCCATAATTTGGGATAAGTAACGGGTATGTTGTTTTGCAGCCAGAATTGCTGATATCCGTTTTTAAACTGAACCTTAAGTTCTTCGTTTGTACAGTAGTTCAGTCAGTACCTCTTGTATTATGACATTCGTTTCTTCTATGTCACCATATGGATTAATTATCCACGGTGGTATTACCATAGTCAAAATATCCTCAAACCTAGATTCAAAATCTGAATAGAGGGCATTTAAATGTTGAACGTAAGTTGAAACGTCGTCTTCCTGGCAGCTTGTCTGTGACAAATTGGGGAACTGAGAAAATTTGCCCCGTCCAATATTTTGCTTCAATAGTTTAACTCTGACAAGAAACGCTGATAAGACGGACTTTGTTTTAATCAAATTTAAACTGTCGCCTTGTAATTGCAAATTAACCATATTAAATTTTGTAAACAAATCTGTTAAATAGGCGATGTCTGTTTTCCTCTTCATTAAATTTTCTTTTAAAATTTTATCTTTAGTATCCAGAAATTCTAGAATAGTCTCAAAAAGTGCAAAAAATCTTGTCAAACATAAGCCTTTCGACAGCCAGCGTACTTCAGTGTGAAGGAGTAATTGATGAAAGTGTTCGTCATTTTCTTCACACAACTGCGCAAATAACCGCGTATTCAACGCGTTGCTTCGGATTCGGTTTACTGCATGAATGACTAAATGAAGTGATTCATGCAATCTAACACTCAAATTTTTGGCAACTAAATGTTGTCGATGGATGACGCAATGTATTGCTAACACCCCTGACACTTTTTGTTTTAAATAGCTTATAAATCCACGATAACGTCCAACCATGGCAGGTGCTACTGATATTATATTTGATAAAGGAATTGCTTTTTCAATGAAGTAATCCTTCAAAACATGAAATATTGATTCACCTTTAGTGTCGGTTATCAAAGTTCTTGCGAAGAGCAGTTCTTCGTAGATTTCTCGATTCATAATAAAACGAAAATATGCCAATAATAATGCTGCATTATCAGGTAAAGTTGACTCGTCCAGTTGTATAGAGAAATGGGTCGTTTGCAAATAATTACATAAGAAGCTTTCAATATCAGAACTCATTTCATCAGTACGTCTTTCAACAGTATTGTTATTAAGAGAATTCTTTTAATGATATCAGATGCAGGTTTGTGTAAAACAGTTTTTAAAACCTCTTCAACGGCTGGCAAAATTAACTTCTCTCCGATAGTATGCGGTTTTCCGGATTTTGCTATAAGTAACGAGATATTGTAAGACGCCCGCAAACCATCATCATTTCTTTGTGACGTCGAAGCGAACATTCTGTCCAGTGTAGGTCTCTTCTGAACTTTATCTTTGAGTGTTTGAAAGTATCTCAAATCTTTCTCTGTTTTATCAGGGTGGCATCTTCTTAGATGATCTTGCAGTTTAGATGGTTTCATAGCGTCATTGCCCAAAACTTTGTTGCATAAAAGGCACATAGACGATTGTTTGTCCGGCACTGATGGAATGAAGCCAAATTTCAAATAGTCAACACTGTACTGTCTACATTTCTTTTTAGATTCGGACATGGCATCAGTCATTATATTACCGATTGCTAAAACTTTCAAAAAGAAACTATTGAGGAGTACTCGTGTAATTTTGCATGATTGAATATTTAACTACTAATAACTAAAGTCATGATTGGCGTACTTTATCTAACTTGCTAACTACGAGTACGAAACTAAAATTTAATAAAAAATAATGTACTTACTTTTCTCCAGCACTCTCAAACAAAATAACACTGACTCACTGTACTTTGTGTGATATACTATCTGTTTATATTTTTTTAAATATTTTCTTAGCACTTTCCTTTTCAAGATTCAGGAAACGAATAAACGTATTTGTCCCACATTCGTATTTATAGAGTGACGAATTGAACAAGTCACTGCAAGGTAGCGAACCTCTGAGACTGCGACTCTCAGGTTTTTACAAGTTCAAAATGTATTGCGACCACAAAGCGAATACCAACATCCTACAACTTACACAATTTTATAAACATATATAATAAATTTTTTACTTCATAGGTACTTTTATAAATAATGTATATGTTTTGATATTATAAGATAGTATGATGTAAGTAAATAGGTACTATCAGTGTACGTGTTGAGATCCACTATCGTGGACCCCCATATTCATTTCATGAACCCCCAAATTTTTTTTCGCTGACGTAGACCCCTTGCAGGTTGTCATAGACCCCTAGGGGTCGATATAGACCACTTTGGGAATCAATGAGTTAGAGTTACTAAAGTGGTGAATGCTGAAGTAATCGGATAACATTCTTGGATTTCTTTTTATGACCTACCAATCGTAGGTGTTCGGAAATTAAACAAAAATTTTTGTCAGCTACAATGGCATGTCACATACGATTTAATGAAGGTAATTAAAAATAAATAAGCAACGCACTATTTTAAAGAAAAGCATATCCAGATAAAAAGTGCGTGTTCAATGAGAAGCCTGACATTCAGACTCACTGACAATTTTTTTAATGTTTGGAGTATAATTTAATACCGCCATATTATTATACAGATGTTCATCTGTAAGTCGATGACGGTATTTGTTTTTAATAAGCTTGATATTTGAAAAAGAGGATTCACACAAATAGGTTGAACCAAATAACGCTATCACTTAGCACTAGGCAACACGCCATAAAACTGAATATCTATCTTTAGTTACTGAAAGAGAGATAGATTTTGTATTTGAGACTAATGATTTTAAAGCTAAATCATTTTGAAACGTAATCGCTTCCAGTTCTGTCGCAGCAATGTCTTCGCTAAAATTCTGCGTTACAGAAGTTGCAAACTGTTGGATATCAATTTCCGTTCTGATTGCAGAACGTAATGGGAATGATTTTCCAAAACTCGATGTACAGTATTATAGCGCCTCTCGATATTCGCTTTTCTGGCAACGGAAACATAATAAACATTCATTTTTACCTTTAACTTCTGTAAAGAAATATTGTTCTTCTCATTCCGAATGGGAATGATGTCTTCATCTCTCATAATGTTTTTAATTGCAGGCCAACTCTAACCCAACCGCTGGACTTTGTGTCGTTCAGTTTTGAACTGAACGCACTGTCGCCGCGCCATGCGTATTTATTCCATTCAAAGTAATCCAGATCGTTCTCGAACAGATCGCTCACCGCAGTGTTGCCGCTGCTTGTGGTTATTCTGAGAATTTACAAAATTTACGGAAGCTTCTATGATTTTTACACCATTTTAAAATGTGTTGTGAGCCACCAGCGTTGCCTTTGCGAGCTACCGGTAGCTCGCGATCGACGAGTTGGCGACCGCTGATCTATACAATCAGTGATGGATTATCTTAGCACAAATGTAAAAATCGTTTGCAGGTTAAGAGTAACGTGTGACGATACTCACTTACACTTCATAAACGCCCATCAATTCGTGGATTCGCCAGAATGGGAAGCAAACCACGAGCAATCAGAAGACGTTTTCCAGGTAACTATCAGTGCAGAGGAAGACAGCGTGTACCTGTGCTGGCCTAGGATGAAGCTGGAAAGGGTCCTGAGGCATCGGCCCATGCTTAAGGCTGTCTTCGAGGCAATTATAGGTAATGCCATCATTTTCATCGCATCACATCGCTTATAGCCCAGTCATTTGATAGTTTAGCATCCTTTCCGCTAGAGTCGCCACACGACATTCCAAAACAGTTTACTTACAATATAATAATAATAGTAATAGCTCCGGCATTATTAGGGCGAATGTTAGCCAATGACTACTCTTACATTTAATCCTTTTACGAAAGTAGATTATACAGGAATTTATAAATGACTTGCAAAATCGAAAAGTGAAATACATTTTAAATAAAATATTGCGTATTTTATTATCTCCTTATGCACCAGATTACATTATGTCACAGCGTTATATGAGAAAGATATTTAGACCAGTGGCGAGGTATACTTAAATTATCCTCGCGTCTTGAATTTAGAAGGTGTATGGGTAAGTGAGGTGGTTTAATTTTACAGCTTTTTGCCACACTCGTCCAACCAATTTCTCTCAACTTTGCTGATATATGGTAATAGTTTCTTAGTCCATAAACAAATCGACAGCAAGAATTCTGCACTTTCTGTAGACGTATCTTCGTCACACTGTCCAGACAGATATAACATGTCTCAGTAATGTATTGTGGGCATGGCTAATGATTCGGATAAGGTTTTTTTTTAATTACTACCAGAAACGTGGTTGTTCGAATGTCTAAATTTTAATTTTGAATAAGGTGATTGTATATTACTGTTCAATGAAAATAAATGTATTACAGTGGACCTCCGGAAATCCGACAAACATGATGCAGGGCAGTGTCGGACTATCGATTTGTCGTATTATAGAGCACTGCCTAAGACCACCTATAGTCCGGAATTTTTTACAAAAGAGTACCTTGTAATCCGACAAATTACATATCCAATGGTAAGATTATACACCTTCGGAAAAACCATTATTATACATTATGATGGGGAAGAGAGATGGAAATATACAAAAGTATGTAGGTGCGTGAAAGACACTCGATTGTAGGATCCTATCTGGCAGCGTCGGAGTGTGACGGACAACGGGGTAAAGTAGAAGAGTGATAAAAGAGAGAAATGGCAGAACGGGCGCTGGCGCCTGCCGCTTAGACGGATGCGCTCAACAAATGCGATTTGTTTCTCCCATTCGCAGAGTTGCCGATACCAATATGTCATATTTCTAAGAAATTTAAGTCTACCCAAATTTCGGGATAAATAGCTGCGGATTCCACATAAGAGTATTCCAAAAATGAAAAAAGTTCAAATTATTAAAATTGTATTAATGTTTCATGGTTCAAATCATATTTTTCATGTTTGTATATTGTTGTATAAATGATTTTGTAATCCCTATTCTTGTTGCCAGTAGAGATACAACAGTACTGAGAGAAATCATGGACCGCTAGATAGGGCTACAACTACCATATGACTATCAAATAGTAGTGATAAACAGGGTTTGTTTATAGCACAGTTGCCTGGTGTGGCGAATTTGCGCCATAGGGGCGATTTGACAACTTTGAAGGACAACTATAACGGGTACTATGGTGCCCGGTATTCGGGAATCTGGCAATACCTGATGATTCCTAACGTTTATTACGCCAGATTGTTTGCTGACTTGCGCAGTACAACATGACAATCAACGTGACTGAGCACCTGGCAACCCTGGTTTAAGGTGTTATATTTAAAGAGCAGAGATTTGGTGACGACAAAATCGTAAAAATATAACGCATTTTCGTAAAATAATTTCTTTGTTGAAAAGACTGTGGCTTGATGACCCATTGAACGAGTATGGTGTCCCGCTCCGCTTTGAATATTCGAAACACTATACTCCAGCAGCATTCAGCTTCAACGTTATCTTTATGAAGTTCTAACGTCTAGGCCATGCTGATTAAAAGCTTGAATGAATCAACACTTAACTCTAAATTCCCCACAATTCGGGAAGCTCTACTCAAATTGGCAACACAGCGTATCTGCCTATTATTCTCATTCGTGATACAGGTCTGCGGTCTGCTGCAAATTTCAGTATGCGTTGAGTCGACAGAAGAAGTAGAGTAGATGCGCGCATTATGCACCAGTTCGATTGGACGTCCTGTGAACCGATTTCGGTGATTTCGAGATTTCACGAAATCACCTAAATCGCTCTACTTATTTTTATGAATGCATAATTGGTTTTGTAGCAATAGAGGTTGCATCTCATAACAAAAATAAGAAGATACCCACTCTAACAAAAAATAGTACACTCTTAAAAATGTGTAACGAAAATAAAAAGATATTCTAACAAAAAAATAAGATCTCAAAAATAAAACGCAATAATGAACACAAATGTTTCAAATGGTCCTTCACAGCTGGGGCTCAAAAACGTCTCCTTCATTCAATGAACAGTATGTCAGGCGGTTATAAAACTCCTGACGAACTCTCAAGAGGGTAGAAGGCTGTATTTACCCGAGCGCTTCAACGATTTTCACCTGTAGGTTATGCAAATTGTCTGCTCTCTCATTGAAAGTGTAAACAGTACTATTCACATAACCCCACAAGAAAAAATCATTCGGCGCTAGATCGGGTGATCTAGGAGGCCATTTTATTGTTCCGTTACCGCCAATAATCCGGTGGTCGAACACACTTTCAAGGTAAGTGTGTACGATCGCCGCATTATGCGCCGAGCATCCATCATGTTGGAACCAAATATTAGCGAGATCAATGCCAAGCTGCCTAATTGCAGGAACAATCTGCGTCTGTAGTAACGCCAAATATTTTGCAGCCGTAAGAGTTCCATCAATAAACAACGGTCCGATAATGTTATTACCTAGAATTCCTGCCCACACATTCAGTTTCTGTGGATACTGCGTGCGGACGGGAATACTGAGGTGTTTATTTTCCCGAGACCAATACCGAACGACTGAAGGATTGTGATGACCGTGGAGAGGGAATGTGGATTCATCAGTAAACAAAATGTTACCAATAAAACTTCCATCCCTGTTCGCCTTCTCCATGACCGTTTCACAAAACTCCATTCGACGGTATTTGTCTAAAGGAAATATTTCTTGAACCGTTCCAACCTTGAAGCTATGATAGCCGTTGCGATGCAAAATATTTCTTGTTGTTCTGGGTGTGAGATCGGCTATTGGTACCATTTCAGCAATTTTTCTGCTTGAGCATGGCTCAGATACTTCTGCAGCGGCGCAAACAGCAGTTTCGATCTCCTCCCTTTTCTCGCCAATTTTTGGTTTCCAACCTTCAGGGTGCATGCAGCTATGGCACTTATGTAAGCAGCCCACCCTCTTGAATTTTTCGTAAGTATTTATAACCGTTGCGTGAGACGGAATTAGCTGATCTGGGAAGCGTACCGCAAATAATTCAACAACCGCGCGTGCTGAATTATTCTGGATGTACCATTCTATCATTTGAAACTTTTCTTCTTGCGAGTACATTTTTAAGATATTTTGGATTAAATAAAGACGCACCTTTCCTACACAAAACCCAACCGCAGAGTGAGTGATGAATCCCTTATCGCACTTGACGACGCCACGCGCGTTAACGGTATGAAATATGTACGAATAGCGATGAAAGTAGACGAGCCGATGCGCTGTTGCCAAGAAATGATTTCCCATGTATAACAATGGTTTTTCCTAAGGTGTATATGTTATGTATATGTATGTACTTTGAAGTACAAATCATACATAGTTTATGTGTGTCGAATTTAGTAAATTAAATAACAATAGAGAGCTTACGTTTTATTATAAAATTAAGCATAAATGCCCATGCATATGTGCCAAAATAATCAAGAATTATTAATCAAAATCATTAATAAATTTATCAAATTATGAAGCTTGGACATATTCATCAGTTTTTTTTGTTTAAGGTTGTTATAACGCGAGATCAGAGCTTTGTCCCTCAGTCTTTTCAAAAGTAAAAGTTCGTTGTAGGATGTACCATTCTTTTCAGCCCATTGTAAACCTAGCCCAAAGGCGTTAATTGCGCACATTTTTCTTTAATTGTCAATGTTTTGTGCTTTCGCTTCTGAGTTTGTGATGACATCACTAGGTACTATACTTAATACACAATGAATAAATAGTAAACAATGAACGCACGCTATGCCGTACCGCTATCACAAGTAGTCAAATTCAAACTAAGTAAAACAATGCTTACGCGTCGAGCACGATAGCGGTGGCGCGTACAAGTCGTAACCTGTTCAAACCTGCGTGATCTACATTAGCGAAGATTGTCATATACGTATGTTTGTAATATTCAAAGACATGTCGGATTACAGGGGGTGCCGGATTAGACAGGGGCCGGATTATCGGGGGTCCACTGTATTATTATTTGATATCTTACGCAGGAAAGGACATAACGCAGAAGTTATATGCGTTGAATGAACATTTGAGTGGTCTAAGTGACGAACGAGACAGAGGCCAGAAGAACCAAATATGGGCTAAAACGCACAACCGGAGCATGTCCTTGGATGCAGTGAATACCTCCACGACGGGCCTGGTACGATCGCAAGCTTATAAGAATAGCCAGAAGGGAATCCCCAATTCAGAACGTAAGTACCTTGCCTCAGAAACTTACTAGATTCAACCTTCCTTGTTTTACTTTTCTATCTATCCTTCATAATTTATTGCTCTTACTCTAATTTATAACAACACTTGCAACTAACTTATGACAAGTTTATTACTATGTCGACTGGACTATGTCATTCCGCGTTGTTGTCAGTCGGTCCGTCCGTTGACTGTTCCTGTGGTGGAATCGCCTAGGTGTTTATTTGAAATTGAAAAGTTCCAGAGCATTCCCGCGCTTTATCGAAGTTCTAGACGATATCGATCAATACTTCTCGAACGCTCCCGATGTCGGCCGTAAGCTCTGTCGCTCTGATGTATGGTGGCATTGCGATTTCCAAAAACGACAAATCCTTTGTGACCATGGCATAGTATGGCTCGAAAAATGCGTGCCTTCCGAAATACAGGGTGTTTAAATTTACTTTTTAAAATAGTTTTTTTTTAAATATTTCCAACAATATTTGATGTATAACAGTAAAAATTGGTATACAAGGGTTTTTTGGTACGACAAAACGAACCATGGGCATAGTTTTACTGTAGCCGCTAGAGGGCGCTCTCTACTGTACCTGTAGTGTATTAAAATGACCGAAAATTTTTTCTTAGTGCAATTTTTTGCTTTTTGAATAAAAAAAGCTGGTTCTACGCACTTTTCTGCATAAAAAAGCTCTCCTGTGAGTTTTCGTTATAGTTAGCCGTTTTTGAGATATTTCGATTTTTAAGGTTCGATGCATTTTTAATTATTTATGAGAAAATAATATTTTTTTTACATTTTCGATTTGGGCATTACAAGTAATTAAGATGATCGTTTAGATTGCGTTCTTAAAAACAACAATAATTCCTAACTCCAAATAAACACAAAAAAACAGAATATCAATTTGTTTAATTTTCCAATATTATTTTTAACAAATTAAATTAATTATTTACAACTAAAATGCTATTGGATAGTTAGGACAAACATACAAAATCTAAAGTAGTTGCTCGAAATGTAAACCCAATTGTTCAATACACATATCACATCACGAATGATCGAACGTGGTATAGCATTATTCAAATAAGGCCTTATTTCATCACATGCATTCCTGATTCTGTCTATTAGCATATCTCTTGTCGTTACGGGAGTCTGGTACACTTTTCCTTTTAGAAATCCCCACACAGAGAAATCTAATGGATTTAGGTCAGGGGATCGTGGAGGCCAGGCGACTGGTCCTCCACGGCTGATCCATCTTTCTGGATAATTTTCATCCAGCCAGTTTCTAACTATTCTCGAATAATGAGCTGGACAACCATCAAGCTGGAACCAGGCCAATCTTCTTAAATCTAACATAACATCATCCCACATATTTGCATGTTCAGCCTTTAAAAATTCCAAGAAAGTTGCAGCATTTAACCTTGCAGGCAAAAGGTAGGGTCCAAATAGTCGATTACGGTAGATACCAATCCACACGTTCACACTAAATTCATGCTGAAAATTTGTTTCCCGAACTGCATGCGGATTTTCATGCGACTAAATATGTTGATTATGAAAATTTACCACTCCACGTCTAGTGAAGCATGACTCATCGGTCCATAAAACGTTACTTAAAAACTCCCTATTATTATCAGTTCTATCAAGAATCCACTGACAAAATGTGATTCTTCGTTCTCCGTCCCCTGGTTGTAGTCCTTGCACAGGTTGCAAATGGTAAGGACGTCTATGGTCATTTCTAAGAACACGGTGAACATGGCTTGCTGAAATTCCCAAGGCACCAGAAACTCTCCTAATACTTGTGGTCGGATCTCTATCAAACTCACGCAGAATCATACGGGTAAATCTGCGCTGACGAACATTTATGTTTTGATCCCTTTGGAGATTTCCAAAACCATTTTCAATTATTTGGCGATGCACTCTTACAAATACTGAGCGAGTTGGATGTCGTCTGTTTGGAAATCTTGGTGCGTATTCTCTGGCTGCTTCTGCTACGTTTCCATTTACAAAGCCATACACAAAATGAATATCCGCTAACTCTTGATTGGAGAATAAAAATGGCATTTTAATAAAACTTACAAAAAAAAAACAGGTAAAAGAAACTAAATTTCGTGCATGCACAATTGCAAAAAAACGTTTCAGGTTTCAACAGACAACAAAACTAACTGTCAACTAATTGACATTTAACCTTATTCTGCTTTCAATTTCAAAAATATTTGCAGGCACAGCCTACTTCTAAAAATTATCGAGATACTGACTTTTTAACGTTATTTTATCATGAATAATTAAAAATGCATCGAACCTTAAAAATCGAAATATCTCAAAAACGGCTAACTATAACGAAAATTCACAAGAGAGCTTTTTTATGTTGAAAAGTACGAAGAATCAGTGTTTTTATTCAGAAAGCAAAAAATTGTACTAAGAAAAAATTTTCTGTCATTTTAATACACTACAGGTACAGTAGAGAGCGCCCTCTAGCGGCTACAGTAAAACTATGCCCATGGTTCGTTTTGTCGTACCAAAAAACCCTTGTATACCAATTTTCACTGTTATACATCAAATGTTGTTCGAAATATTTAAAAAAATTTATTTTAGAAAGTAAATTTAAACACCCTGTATAAGCCACGCATTTTTCGACCCATGTTTATACAGACTTTATGCATTAATTTTAAAAGTTCTATCGAATCTTAAAGTTATGCAACAATAAACTGAAACACCCTGTATATTACAGTATAAATTAAATGAATCTAAAAGTTTTTATGTTTTCATTTTCCAAACCTTGTTAATTCCATTCACAAATTTATTCAATTGGTACATTTCAAATGTTATATTTCATGATATTTTCAAATTGTCGAAATTTATCCCCCCCCTCTCTAAAAAAGGCGATTCCAACGATCTTTCGAATTATAGACCTACAGTATTTCACTTATACCCTTACTTGCTAAGATACTTGAGATTATTTTGAAAGATCAGCTTGTTGACTATTTTGAAAGCAACAACCTATTTACTGACTGTAAAAGTATGTTTCAGATCAGGTCGAGTTTACTTATGTAGCTATTGACAACTTTATGAAGAAAATAAGCGCAGCTTTTCAAATTGAAGCTCATTGCTTAGCTGATTTTTCTGACCTAACCTGCCTTCGATTGTGTCCAACATGGCATTCTTCTACAAAAATTGTCGCATTACAAGTTCCATAGTCACATGACTAGGCTTTTGTCATCTTATCTGCGCAACAATGACAGTTTCATGTGGCGTCCCACAGGGCTCTGTGCTGGGTCCACTTTTAATCTTAATATACATAAATGGCCTTCTTAATTATAATACAAGCAAAAACCTTATACTGTTTGCCAATGACACAGCAATGATTTGTAGTAGCTAATCGATTTATCTGTTTTTCTCTATGAATATTGAATATACAGGGTGGCGCACATTTTGCAATATTTGAGGAGTAATTACGCCAATAAAATATACACAGTAGAATGTTTGGGTGTCAGCATTAATACACACATGATTTGGGAGGAACATGTAAACAGTATTCTCAGGGAACTATCCAATACAATTTATTTAATTAGGAATCTGAAAAGCTGTATTTCTGGTCACACATTGCTAAACATATGATGGATACTTCTACTCAAGAAAGACATATGCAATCTTGATCTGGGGTCACTCTGAGCATATGTCTATAGTATTTGGACTACAAAGGCGTTGCATTAGAGTCATCGCAGGTCAGGGAGACATACATCATCATAAAGATCAATCATTCTTCCATCTCTATATATATTTATCTGCTTATGTTATGTACACAAAGAACTAGAAACGGTTGTAACAACTATGGAATTCACTTTTATAATGTTCTACCTGGGGCACTCAGAATGTGTGGCATCGGTTCATTTAAGTATAGAATTAAAGCGTACCTTATCAAGAAAGCTTTTTATAGCATCGAAGAGTTTTTAGGTAATAACTTTTCGGATCTCTTATAATGGTGTCGTATTGTGCTTGTTTACTTTTACTCTGTTTCTTAATTTGTGCGGATGTGCTTGTTCTATAGTTTTCTATTTATTTTAAATTCATAATATACTAAGTGACATATAAATCCGAACACCCAGTTTAAATGGTTTTATTTTAATAAAATTTTGTATAAGTACTTAATGAAGCATAATAAGTAAATGATAAAAATTTCAAAATGATTGCACTGCTTTAATGATGTGTGGATGCACCCTGATGTGCTACGCATTCTCCAACGCGCCTAGGCATGCTTCTGATCAGGTGGTCAATGTCCTCCTGTGGTATCTCATTCCAGGCAACCACCAACTCCTCTCGAAGTGCTTCTAGAGTCTGAGGAGGACGTTGCAAATTGAGCAATCTCCTACCCATCATATCCCACACGTGCTCAATTGGGGATAAGTCGGGAGATCTTGGTGGCCATGGAAAGTTGGATCTGCCAGGGTGTCAAGATAGGGTAAAAGATGGGGTTCTAGAACCTCGTGGATATAACGCTGCGCGTTCATGTTACCTCTGATGAAGTTTAAAGGTGACCTGGAACCATAAGCTATAGCACCCCAAACCATAACTCCAACAGTGTGATGAACATGTCTTTCAACAAAAAACTGTGGATTCCTCCTTTCACCACGTCGCCTTCTAACCCTGGCACGACCATCGTGCATGCCTAAACAAAATCGAGACTCGTCACTAAAGACAATACTGTTCCATTCCTGATCCCAGAGTGACCGTTGTCTGCACCACTCAAGGCGATTACGTCGGTGTTCTCGAGTTAAAGGGAGGACCGAGTGTGGCCGGTATGAAAACAAGCCAAAACTTCTCATTCGTCGGTAAACACTTCGCATGCTAATAGGTCTTCCGTGTTCAGCAAACCATTCATTTGCAATGGACCTGGTAGTGGAGAAACGGTCCCTTAAGGCCAATAATCTTAGGCGGCGATCTTCACGGTCTGTTGTTCTACGGCGGCGTCCAGTGTCCCTTGTTCCTCTGCGTACGGCCTTCTCGAAGCCATGCCTGACAAAACCTAACCACAGTGTCTACACTTTTTTGCACTCTAACTGCAATTGCCCGAAAAGAAAGTCCAGCTTCCCGAAGTCCCACTATACGGCCCCTATCAAACTCACTAAGTTGACGAAATCGTACAGGTCTCCGTACTCTAGGCATCGTAACCGATCGTAAAGGATGTCAAGAACCAAAATCCGTCAACGTTGATTCTTTACTGCGGCTGAAATATTCATTTTTAGAGCGTTAGTGAATTAAAAAAAAGCAGTATAAAAACAGGAATGTCCAACTGATAAGGCTGAAAATTTTTTCACTTGTTATTTACAGTAAGTTAAATACATTCACCAACTTTTATTAAAATAAAGCCATTTAAACTGGGTGTTCGGATTTATATGTCTCTTAGTATATCATTATACAGTTTTTCTGTTAATGTTGTGCTTTCCAACAAATTCTATTATTTTGTGAATTTACACTTTTGTATATGTATTAAGCACCAATAAAGAAATAAAAAATAAAAAAGTAGCAACATTTAATAAAAATTTCATCGAAATCCGAGTGGTACTTCCCAGTAAACGTGGGAAGTAATTAAAGAAAGTTGCTGTACCCATCACAGGTTTTGAACTAGATCATTGCCTGTTTTCTAGATTCTTAAGGACAGCAGAGAATTGAAAATTAAAAGAACATTTCGGAAACCAGTCCTGTTAGAGATATTATTTGCTAATGCTGCCACATTTTGTCTCAATTTAATCGAGCGTTTCAGTTTCAGGTCTGTTAGGCAAAAGCTCGAAATTCGTACCACTGACAGCGTCCCAGTTTCCCGCCAAGTCACCGTTCACGCACGAAAATTCAAGTTTTCGTCGCTCCGAAAATAACGTCACACCACAAAGAACCCGATCGCTCAGGCACTCGATTAGAGAGGTCAAATTCGAAATGAGTAGCAAGTAGGTGATAGTTGTTGTTCGGTGGCGAATATTGAAAGTGCAGTACGTTGTCGTTTTCCTTGGTACACAGTCACTACCTTATCTCTTGTCAGCATCGGAAGTATTCAGAAACAATTGTTATAAATTTATCAGTATTGTTTACTTTTCACTATACACAAACGTAGCCTTGGTGTTGAGACGAAAGACGGTACATCGCAAATAGTATTTTGATATCAGTAAAAATACGTTAGATGTTAGATTGATTCGCTGTTCCTTAGTTATATTGTAGCTTCTATCGAGGGCAAAGGAAAATAACATTTAAAGGATAATGTAGTGACCAGTGATTTGATGTTTCAACCATATTCTGGAGTATGTACAGACAGAGGATTTGTTTATCACTCAGACTGCCTATAATAGTAGTTCCCGAAGATTTGATCTAATTATATAGCGTTTAGGCGTATATAACCATAAATACATAAAGAAATAAGCTATCGAGTGTATCACACATACCTGTATTAGGGTGTGCCAGCCTGTGGGGGCAAAGAAATGTTTGTTCGAATTGAGATACGCATATGCTCTATTTTTTTTTTTCATTTGACTCTAACAACTCAAAAAATCGATAGTATCGCAATCGGGAAACGATAACTCGTGTCGACTTTCGGTCAAACTTTGAATTTGGAAGTTAACCTTCATAAGCCCGTGGTCAAAAACTTAAATAAATACCGAGTGGGGTGCAAATCTACCCCAACATTTTTTAAGCTTATTTTTTCTCAATTTGTGATTAATCAAAAATAAACACATTCGGAAATGATATGAAATCATTGTAATATAAAGAAAAGAAATTAGGAAGAATATAATATGCAGGGTGTTCCTTAATTATATGCGAATATTTAAGGGTGTGAACCTACATGAAAAATTAATGTTAGTTTGCTTTATAAACTATGGTCCAAAAATGTTTCCTTACAAAAACTCGGGGTGTTGAAGTTTTAGGAAAAAAATGGAAATGAATTAATAATTTCAGATCCGCTTCAGATATTTTACTAATACTTAGTACGTAATGAAAGGTATAAGTTGCATATTTTTTCATGCAAAAATAATTTTTAGCTTTAACAGTGACGTGCGTACGGGTATTGACTTCGATATTTTTTAAGAAAAAAATTGTACGCCAATGGTTTTTTTACAAATAAAAATTATTTTTGAATTCATCGTTCAATTTAAAGCAAATGATGTCTCTTGAAAAGTTTTTCTTCGATGGCCCATTTTTGAGTCGCGAAGAATATGCGAATTTGATCCACACTCATGGTCGCGGGTAGTCTGAAGAAGGCATTAGACGTGATAGCGGCAAGCAAAAATAAGCATTATTTTATTAAGTTTGAATCAGTGGTGCTTGCATCGCATGTACTCGTTAGTTCGAGAAAGTTCCGGTGAGCCACATAGCGGCAGTCCAGAATATTCGAGGTCAGTTCGCGTCGATCTCGAAGGAGAGTCCCTGGCGCGGTTCCCAACAGATGTCGCTAGTAGTACCACAAAAGGGAATCATAACTTTGTCTTTAAGATTCCAGTCAATAATAGCATTCCAAACTGCCTGAGCCTGCTCGCTGCCTGAAGAGTTACCCAATTTGGGCACAGCGATAAGTTGCTGTTTATTTTCATATACCCTCTCTAGACTCACGCGCGGATCACGGCGTGAAATTGCGGCGCGGATCGCGATGCGATGCAGAAACTTGTTCCTACAGTTCCACAGTCGCAGATGTTCGGGCTTGCTTCACAATATAGTTCGCGCTCTTGACGAGTATGAATGGTGAAATTGCTACTGCTGCTTTACGTTTTGGCAATATATAATTACGCATGTATAAGTAAAACTAAAACAATTGGAAAGAAGTGGAAAAAGCATAACCATCACCGGCACTCGCTAAGAGGCAATTGAAACGCCAGCGAATGAGGAGATGTTTGCGATATGTTCACGCCTTGCGACCCCTTTGTCGCGGGACAAAAACCGACAACAAACGGAAACAACGCGCGAACGCGACGTGAAGTCGCGAAGAATACGCGAATCGGATCTACTCTCATGGGTCGCGCGTAGTTCGCGGCTTCGCGCGTGAGTCTGGAGAGGGCTATACGTTCTAACAATCGGTGGACGTTCTACCTTGCGCGCATTTAAAGATGCCTACAATTTGCCATCCCAGTGGACAGTTACAGTATCCGGTACCTCGCTTTGAAAATCAGGCTTTGTAGCATCTGCGCGCTCCTTTCGTTTTTCGGTACGAATTCTTTGAATGGAGGACTTGCTTATAGGAAATCCGTCAGTGTTATGTCCAAGTTCTTGAATGGTTGCTTCAATAATAAAGACAGCATTTCTCATACTTAACTGACACCTATCTAATGCTGCCACTAATTCTGGAGTTATGAAACTCTTCCTCATTTGAGTTTGATTAGTATCAGGCTGTATGCTCTGAGTCGGGACGGGCATACAGGGTGTCCGCAAAGTCGGGGGTTTTCCTTTTCAGAAACAACTACCCTTGAAATAACAAAGGTAATGTGTAGTGAAACGAGGGCGACCAATTAAAAAAAATAAAGGAAAAAGTACTCACTCTCCAGTTGACGAGAAGGCCTAAGTACGTCTCTGCCCGAAATCATACCGCTCCAACAGAAAATGAAATCAGCTGATGCGCTACCGAGCAGACGCAGGCAAACAAGGAAGGCAAAAAGGTTGCGTAAAAAGTCTAGGTATTGCATCCCGTCCAATCGATTTGGGAGAATAAATGGTCCAATCAGCATACCGTTCACCATGCCAGCCCAAACATTCACCTAAAATGTTTGTTGAAAATGTGCCCGACGGACAGCGTGCGGATTTTCTACTGACCAAACATGAGTGTTGCGAAAGTTATTCATCCCATTACGCGTGAACGTAGATTCGTCTGTCACCAATATGCACTTCAAAAAGTCCAGATTATTGTCATGTTGATGCAACAACCACTCACAAAACCGCACTCTTGCTGGAGAATCGTCAGGTTGAAGGGCTTGTACACGTTGGACGTGAAACGGATACAGCTCCTCTTCACGCAGCGTTTGCCACACTTTAGTTTTTGATACTTGCACTTCTCTAGCCACGTCTCTAGTGCTTGTTGAGGGATTCTCGTCTACGCGATTACCTCTACACGCGTGACCGTTGAAGGTTGCATACTGACCTGACACACTGACCCCGACCCAGTTCTGTCGTCGGGTTGAGCTAGTGTCCTAGTACCACTCTGGGATGTCGCGGCTACAGGACGGTATTCGGATATTTTTGATGTTACAGGAAGCTGAAGATGAATTCTCTTGTACTGGTTTGTAAGATGATGTCGAAAGGATTATGGAAGCAACATGTTTAGCTCGTCGCCTTTATTCTTCGGTGTTCCTAAGACGCGCGTTTTCTTCTTTTGTGGCTAATTTCTTCCAAGTTCATAACAAACTCTTGTCAACGTTGCTCAAACACTTCTTGTATTTCGTTTGCATTTTTTGCAAATATCTCCAGGCTTTGTATGAGGTAACTAGTTTCTTACCACAGTTAGGTAGAGATTTAGTTGGTAGACGTGCCTTTTCCCAGTAAATAATGCACTCACGAATAGTAGGTAAGGTTGGCGATCTCATTGACGCTTAATTTCACTTCCCGAGTATTATAAAACAAAACTGCTAGTACGTGTCCATTAAAGGGCAGTTTTGAACCGGTAATTTGATTCTTTACGTCCCCTATTAAAAATATCCCCAACAGCGCGTTTACTAATAGAACAAACGAGCACTACAATACGTTAGCGCCTAATATGCAAGTTTTGACATGTTTCCACGCAACTCGGCACGCGTTGGCCTGGTTCTACGTACATAAAGCTTCATTTACAATTATTTTGACATTGTTCAAGCAAAACTAGAGCGTATGCGTTTGAAAAAAAGAACTTCTATTTCTTTCGTACACCCTTACCTATATTACATATACATACCGACTCGACTTGGCGATGAAAAAGCCTGACTTTTGACAGGCAATAGCCTCTGGTAGTACTCAGCGACTTCTGCCAAAACCAATCTTTGATCGTTCTTAAAAACGGTTAGCGTTTTCAAAGCGGTAAGTGACAGTTGTATGCTTTCTGGGTTCTTTTGGATGTGGATTTAAAACACTCGATTCCACAAAAAGTAATGCACTAATTTATTTAAAACCCAACACAACTAACTTTAACTTAACTAGATAGAACATCTATGTACACCACTATTTAATTCTGACTACTTATTTACATGTTATTATGACGCGCCATTCACTCAACTCTGATTCCCTCTCCCGGCCGTCGGCTTATACTCATATATTCCGCATCGCATGTACTCGTTAGTTCGAGAAAGTTCCGGTGAGCCACATAGCGGCATTCCAGAATCTTCGGGGTCACTTCGCGTCGATCTAGAAGGAGAGTCCCTGGCGCGGTTCCCAACAGATGTCGCTAGTAGTATCACTCATTCTTGTTACAATACGCTTCGGATGTGTCTGTCATACTTACATCGCATTGAAAGCGCTAAGCGGTTTGGTGGATGTAAATACCAAACCTGTTTTTTGCCTCTAAAGTTCAACGTAAATTCACAAAATGTACAAAAAGTAGCACAATACAGCAGATTTGATTACGAGCACAACCGAGATTTTCACAGTTCTTCATCGTACTTCCATGAGATCATATATTTCTCAATATATGCAACTGTTATATAAATTATATTATAAATAGTAATACGCTTTTATGGATGTTGAAAGATTATCTATTTCAAAGCAATAAGTTTAATACTGGCGACCATTTAAAAATCGACATCTAGTTGTTTGGAAACAAATATTAGGGATAATAGAAAGTGCCTTATGTTTATGTGCAATGCCTTCCCAAGTCTTTTTGATACTATCCATCATAAGTATTGCATTGAGAATACTTCATATTGTCTAAATATACCGTTTTGTGGTTAGAATGTGTCAATAGTCATCCCCAAAACATTCATACATTATAATTTTTAAACAGCCTGGATTTATCTTAAAGGATTACAGTAGATATCTTCTGCAGATAGCTGTTTACTTATTTTGTAAAAATTGACATCGAGATCGGAGGATGTATGGTACCCTATTGTCATTATATGCACTCTAGTTACATTTTGGACAGGCCTCACATTCTAAATATTATATGACAGTCTAAAGTAGTGCATGCTTGCGGTATATTTGCATATAAACTAATATAAATAGTAATTTAGTCATTCAGGCTGTACAGATAGTATCTTATTAAAGTTTTACTGTGACATATGTCAAAAATGCTCTCTTACTACAGTATCCAAAAGCTGCCTTTAAACGACAACGTACTGTATTTCATAAAAATGTTTTGTTGTTGAAGTGAATTGTAGTGATATTTGTATGTAGGTATTTTATAGTCAACAGCATCAATATAGGCCATCATAACTTACATATCTTACTGTCTTGAATAATCTACTCGTCTCAGTCTCCATCTTGAGCTATGCTTTTGATATAAATCATTCTTCCTATTCAGCAGCAAGTACTTGAAAGTTGTCATTTAAGCCTATTTCTTAATATACCTCCAAACAAAAATAAAAATACTGATCTGGGGTTTTAACTATTTTAGAAGATTTATTACGCATTTTCCACTCAATATAAAAAATCATACCATTGTAAATTTGAAATTTTACAAAAAATCCAAAATAACGCTGACACATGCACAAAGCGCCATATGACGGTCACAAACTGAACTAATCTGACAAGATTGACATTCGTTAGGAGCGCAGGTGAATACTCTTTCAAATACAATCAAAATCGGTGCAGGAAAATAAAAGTTATGTGACATTGAACCCTTATCCCGCACTGATCAACATATACTAAGTGACATATAAATCCGAACACCCAGTTTAAATGGTTTTATTTTAATAAAATTTTGTATAAGTACTTAATGAAGCATAATAAGTAAATGATAAAAATTTCAAAATGATTGCGCTGCTTTGAAGCCTTTAATAATGTGTGGATGCACCCTGATGTGCTACGCATTCTCCAACGCGCCTAGGCATGCTTCTGATCAGGTGGTCAATGTCCTCCTGTGGTATCTCATTCCAGGCAACCACCAACTCCTCTCGAAGTGCTTCTAGAGTCTGAGGAGGACGTTGCAAATTGAGCAATCTCCTACCCATCATATCCCACACGTGCTCAATTGGGGATAAGTCGGGAGATCTTGGTGACCATGGTAACAATGTGACATCATTATGTTGAAAGAAGTCTATTGTGACTCTTGCAACATGTGGTCGAGCATTATCTTGTTGGAAAGTTGGATCTGCCAGGGTGTCAAGATAGGGTAAAAGATGGGGTTCTAGAACTTCGTGGATATAACGCTGAACGTTCATGTTACCTCTGATGAAGATTAAAGGTGACCTGGAACCATAAGCTATAGCACCCCAAACCATAACTCCAACAGTGTGATGAACATGTCTTTCAACAAAAAACTGTGGATTCCTCCTTTCACTAGGGGTGTGCTTAACAGTGAAATTTTAATATCGGTGATCACTGCGACTGCTATCAAAAAGTAGCTGCTACTGCAAGCTGTGAAATTATCACTCTTTATATAACAGTAACTATCACCTAAAATTCCGCGTAACGTAATAATTAATGAAGTCCTCTGCGAATATGAATAATAAAATATTTGCGTTTAGCGTTACTTACTAGTCTTTACTACTCAGCCTTCAGCTTTCTGCGATTTGACCGTTCCGAGAATGAGTGAATGAGTAAAAAAATACCTTTAAATAGTATTTATAATTAGGACATGGCTATATGAAGTACATATATTTAATTTGGAAAAAAATATATATGTAATTTAAACAATTTACAAAATAAAAAGGTATGAACATCGTAACAAAAAATCAAAGTAACAAATAGTAAAACGTATTTTTTATTTTTTTAAGTTAAGTTAAACAGTGATATTTTCACTCTTTCGTGCAGAAGCGAGTAGCACCTACCTAAATGATTTGTGAGTAATAGGTGAACAGTAGCAGTGAATGCGATCGCAGTCACTTCTCTACCTTTCACCACGTCGCCTTCTAACCCTGGCGCGACCATCGTGCATGCCTAAACAAAATCGAGACTCGTCACTAAAGACAATACTGTTCCATTCCTGATCCCAGAGTGACCGTTGTCTGCACCACTCAAAGCGATTACGTCGGATTTCTCGAGTTAAAGGGAGGACCCAGTGTGGCCAGTATGAAAACAAGCCAAAACTTCTCATTCGTCGGTAAACACTTCGCTTGCCAATAGGTCTTCCGTGTTCTGCAAACCATTCATTTGCAATGGACCTGGTAGTCGAGAAACGGTCCCTTAAGGCCAATAATCTTAGGCGGCGATCTTCACGGTCTGTTGTTCTACGGCGGCGTCCAGTGCCCCTTGCTCTTTGCGTACGGTCTTCTCGAAGCCATGCCTGACAACACCTAACCACAGTGTCTACACATCTTTGCACTCTAACTGCAATTGAACAAAAAGAAAGTCCAGCTTCCCGAAGTCCCACTATACGGCCCCTATCAAACTCACTATGTTGACGAAATCGTACAGGTCTCCGTACTCTAGGCATCGTAACCGATCGTAAAGGATGTCAAGAACCAATATCCGCTGAAATATTCGTTTTTAGAGCGTTAGTGAATTAAAAAAAAGCAGTATAAAAACCGTAATGTCCAACTGATAAGGCTGAAAAATGTTTCACTTGTTATTTACAGTAAGATACATTCACCAACTTTTAGTAAAATAAAACCATTTAAACTGGGTGTTCGGATTTATATGTCACTTAGTATATGAGAAAGTGATATTAGTAAGAAAGTTCAGAAATTGAGCATTAAGGCTAATTATGAGTTTTTACAAAATTTTGAATTTTTGAAATTGGTATGACGCCACCTAGTGGCAAGTTTAGTAACCTGAAAATAATTTCTTTTTCTCTTGAAGACATTTATTATAAAATTTTTCAACCGATGGCTCTAGATTAAGCGGTTGCAGAGATATAGCCGGCTTCTTTTTGGTTAAAAAGTTATCTCCCTTGACAAATCTTTTGACGTGTCTCGACGTTTTTTCTTAATAATCAGTGGTTTTCGATAAATACAGCGTGTGAGGTTTTCATATATCTAAAGAAATACGTAAGGGATTTTAAAAATTCTGATGTTTGTTATATTTTCGACAAAAAAATGTGGTCGTCACATGACACCCCCATCCAATTAAAAAACAATCTTCTAAGTTGGCGCCCGTTGGTTGGCGCCTATGGCATGTTTGACTAGTGTGGTTCAACATTGTTGTCAGATGGTCGATACTTTCGGTAGGGCAGGAAGAAAATGTATATGTAATTGTAGAGTCAACCCTTTTGATACGTCGCATTAGTGCACCGCGTGTTTGTAGTTTGTCGATGTGAAAATTGGAAGTCTGATATGTGTCAATTAACGAAATGTAAACACCCCTTGCATTTATTGCCATAGAACCGGCTATCGTACCTAACCTAAAAAATTCTTCCAGTGATCCTGAGGCCATACATGCGGTGTTTCCCCGATAATTGTTAAATTTGCTAAAATATTTACTGACAAAGGTAAATCTAATTAG